GAATCATGGTACTACTTCCGTGCCCGAACAAGGAGCTCACCGATAAGGCATCCAGTCTGCTACGATCGCTAATCTGAGATTATGTGTATGCACTCTATTTTTTCTCTGCTACATTTGAGATAATAATAGGATTACACAAATGATTGTGATGACCAGGGATGCTGGTGGGATAAACATATGAAGGAAACAGATCCACTGATTAGGCGCACTTTAGTATCGCATACGCTTAGCGATAATACCGCACCCTATCGGTTATGAATAGAGGATATCTATTGAAATAGAGTCTTCATTAAGGAGAATTAGTCCTAGTGTGGTACACAAGAAGAATTACGACGAGGACTGTTCGATCAGGTAGTCTAATTTAAAGGTTAAAGACGTAAGTGAAGTTTAGTATCGCTAAGAAAAAGTAAATGCATTCAGTTACTCTTTTGATCAATTTCAGATACATGTCTTTCTAAGACGTCTCTAGTCGTAAGAGTCAAGTTCCTGAGTTAAGGCTAGTTATCTTGGGCGTCATTGCCACGTGGTTGCGTGGATTCGTAGTCCCTTAAACGAGAACTGGAAGTTTACCATCTTGTTAAAGAAATTAGAGATAAGTATCATTAAGCCCTTAAGACTTCATTCATTCCAAGTTTATCAAAGTTTAGTTTAATGCACTAAGAGAGAATGTCTGCGAGTCCAGAAGTCTTTCTTTTACTTCGAGGTTAGGGTTGCCTTGGTACACTGGTAGCTAACGATTTCCTGTACTGTTCCATACTTCTGGTTGTTGAAGGGATATTTGCCTGGAATAGCCTGGTGTGTCCTGCTTACCATAAATTTGGTCGAAGGTGCTTTGTGCTTCTACACACGAAATTGATTTTTTTTCTACGCTGTTCCAAAGCTTATATCTCAGATTCGTCATAGGTGATACTGAGGTCCATAGGCTTCTGCCTGTTGAATGAACTAAATGAGTCAATCGATTTTGGATTGTACCCATGGATGCACAAACGGGCTGCCTTTAAGTCGAACTTAGCGTTCAACGTGATGTTAACATCCGCCTCAAAAGAGGTGGGGTGCACCCGGAATGCTTGCGTTCGAGCCACTCCCGTGCGAGGGCCCTCCATGAAGATAGTAGCCAAAACAATTTCTTTGGTGGGATCAAGCTGCATGGCAGTGATCAAAGTTATCAGTTCCTGGACATATACCGATACCTCTTTCTTGCCCTGACGGGTAGATAAGAAACGAGAACGCAATCGATACTCATGATTAGGCGGAGCAAAACTTGTAATTTTTGATATTTTAGCAAACTCCATGTGAGAAAAGTCTCGTCTACCGACGTGCTACACGTGAGGGCCCATTTTATGGCTTGGCCACCTAATTTTGAGATAGACATCCCAACTCGCTGTTGCTCCAATCTAAGCATAGTTAAATCCATGGTCATTTTTACCTCTATTATGCACGTAAGGAGATTTCATCACTTCTGTCCCATAGACGCCTTCACATTCAAGACATGGGGGAGAGCCTCTGGCTGTTTATCGGGTATGGGGACATACATACTAGATATAGACGAGTCGAATGGTCGTATACTTGCCCGATTAAAGTGGACTCAAAAACTGCATCAAAATGATCAAGACGTGCACGAATCACGTCAGGACCTTGTGCGAGGATTAAGTCTACTCGTTATTTCCCTACTGGCGCTCTGAGTTTCTCCAGAACGAATACCTGGGCTTTAGGGAGGATTAACTTTCTTTACATCCTTACTTAGAAACAGTTTTGTGCAGACTTAGATGTAGATTTACAAAAAGTGCTGCCAAGTGTCGCGGAGCTAACTTAACCTCTTAGTAATTGAAAGACTTCTGGACTCGTAGACATTCTCTCTTAGTGCATTAAACTAAACTTTGATAAACTTGGAATGAATGAAGTCTTAAGGGCTTAATGATACTTATCTCTAATTTCTTTAACAAGATGGTAAACTTCCAGTTCTCGTTCAAGGGACTACGAATCCACGCAACCACGTGGCAATGACGCCCAAGATAACTAGCCTTAACTCAGGAACTTGACTCTTACGACTAGAGACGTCTTAGAAAGACATGTATCTGAAATTGATCAAAAGAGCAACTGAATGCATTTACTTTTTCTTAGCGATACTAAACTTCACTTACGTCTTTAACCTTTAAATTAGACTACCTGATCGAACAGTCCTCGTCGTAATTCTTCTTGTGTACCACACTAGGACTAATTCTCCTTAATGAAGACTCTATTTCAATAGATATCCTCTATTCATAACCGATAGGGTGCGGTATTATCGCTAAGCGTATGCGATACTAAAGTGCGCCTATCCGCGGAATGAGTCCTTTTCTGTGTGTATTACAACAATATAAAATGTTAGCACAACCGTTTGTGAAAACTCGTTACAACCTCCTTCAACAACCAGTGGACACCCCGATTTGACGTTCTATACCTTTCTCATTACGATAGCTCGGCAAGAACAGATATCCTTACGGTTGTGTTCACACACCTTTCGCACAAATTACGAATTCTTCGCATTCCTCCGGGTCTTTGGATGACATCATTCAAGAAGAGTTCATCGTTGACTATGACAGTGACACTGTCGTGGAAGAGGTCTGTATAGGGTTATAATGACTTGGTGTCAGAGGTGGCGCGATTTTGCGAGTCTTACGCTCACGTTGCAGACTACACTAGGTCGGTCTGTGCCTATGAGAAACAACTACGGAGTATCCTCGGCTAAGCGCAAAGCGATGTGAAATGTCACCGAACAAGTTGGCTCAGTCGTGTAAGCACGTGAACTGTCTCGGCTCAATCGAATCTGTCGAAAAAAGATTGCAGAAGGTGAAGTGCAACCTGCCTCGGCTGGAGGTATAGATGGAGCTCGTGATAAAGATGTATAAAACGAGAACGATAACCCCGTGTGGTGAAGAATTGTCAGCACTGTTTGACGAGACCCCAAATCATTCACTGTGACGGACTGCCGACTGTCGAAGGGGGCACCCCAATGCCGCTTGTGGGCCTTGACTCACCTTGTGTAACCGTCGACAGGCGGGTTTCATTCTTCGGACGACTTGGTGATGACTGTAGACGTCGGCCTTAATGTAGGTCAATCTGGGGGGGGGCGAGCGAATATGATTTGGTCGGGGTCCAATTTAGGCAACCACTCGATCGACTTGGTCGAGAGTGGTCTTCTAACCACTTGTCTCAGGTGCTGGTAGCGCCTGGTCTTTACTTGTCTCAGGGGTTTTAACTGCCTCGCCTTTACACTTCTTCTCCCATACTGCTAGGGTATGAAGACCGCTTCATATAGCGGACTTGAGTCGGGGGGGGTGATAATCTACAAACTCACAGTCCAATATACTTCCTGGGGTTCTACTTACACGTGGGTCGTACTGACAATTGTTTATTCAACAGGTGGGCCAAACAGACCCCTGGACCAGAACAGGTCGGGAGACTTACAAGTTTCTTAGCGCACGACACGTCGTGCTACTTGGATCGCAAATTGAGTAGTGTTAAATATTGCCCTATCCTTTAAACTTCTTATATTTATCTCTTCACTGAACCTGTGTTCTCTGTGATGAGTAGCCAGCATACCTTGAGGGGACAAGTCGACCTATGGGTGATTAGGTTGGCCAAGGGTGGTCAGAAGGGCCTACGGGTGACCTAGGCCCACCCTGGGCGACCAGGCCGACCGACGAGTGGTTGTGAACGATCCACATCGGTACCGCTTTACTGGTACCGTTGGTCGGTTTGATCTTGTCAGCGGTAACCTAAACCGCCCGTCACGGTTGGACCCAACGGCCGCCACTTAACTGTGACTCTCAAGTCTCAGGTCCCTTTCCCGGGCCGCGAGGCCCCACGTCCATCCGGCTCATTAACCCTCAAGTTTATCATTTCTGTAAACTCGCTTCACCACAGCCGCCCCTTGCAATTGCTCGACCTTACAAAGGTTCGAGGACGAGCATGTCTTCTTCAGACCAGTCCCGTAATCTCCACCATCACTTGTGGCTGATAATCCATCACCGTCTAATCTTCGTGCTCGTAGCGACAACTTCACCTGGATCTGACGCACCGTCTGAGGGTCCGGCTATAACCCCCTTTTTTCTGCCACCCGAACCCTTGGTCAAGATTACTGCTTAAGTAGATCCAGTTACCGCGATACCTCCCGCTTCGCCCACTAATGAACAATGGGCAAAGGTTACTGTCCCAGTGATTTCATTTGCCACAGCACGTGTCTCTCCTGGTTCTGCAAGATCTTCATCGTTAACAATCGTTCGCAAGGCCGTCGTGACCGCGCTGTCGGCTTCGCTACCGGTGGGTCGTCTCCGGTCACCTCGAGTGTGAGGTAGCCCTAGTCGTGACTGCTTATTCTGTCAAACCTGTCAGTATAGCTCCCGCCAATGTTGATAAAGCCAGAACGTTTTACTTCGCCGATGGTCATTCGACCACAAGCGTGCCACATGTCGATTTGGTGGCGTTGTGTCGCCGGGTCGAGGCCTGTAGAGGTGGCTGGCTTTGATGCCTCCTTCAACAAATTACTGGTAGCTCCGATGTGAGATCTTGAAGTGGTAGTTGGTGACTTCTGCGCTCTCGTCTCACAGCTACGCGAGAAGCTGCAGCATGAGATGGCGCTAACCGATCACTAGTGATGGCAAATTGACATTCAACATAGCATGATGTCCCTCTTCATAGCGAAACTCAGTCAATCCAATATCTCGGACGAACCGCTGGAGGGCGGAGCCGGTCGTCCAACAAAACCATCCCCAGTCGCCGACACCTCCATGGTGTCTAACCCCAATACTAGCGTCGTCTACAGGACACCAAAAGACTCGACCGTATATGATTTACGCTAGCTCTCGTAGCCGGTAAGCATCCTCTACAAAAATCCCTTTGCATCCCATTCAAACCAAGGGGCGTGCGAAGTTTTGCGCGCTGGTCGCTTCGACGGTGTGGAAGACGGTTTCCAAGACCTCGGAGGAAGCTGATTTGCCGTTCATCACGACACGTAAGTATCAATCCCGACAGTGAACCAGTTCCGGTCGCCATGGCCAGATCTCGGTCTTCTCGTCGTCGGCCGAAGACGGCGTCTTCGCTTTCCCTGCAGCCACGACTGCCGTGACGAAGGCTTCGACCCCTCGGTATCTCACCGATGCCATGTTCGGGTAGCCCGGGTACAAGATCAAGCCGCCACATCGGAAGGCGGGTGACAACCCAGCAGCTCGCAGTTAATTTGCGTCAGACGACTAGTACTTGCTTTCTTCCTAGGCCATGATACCAGGTTCGACTCAAGCGAGGTTATCAACCGGTAGTGAAGTGGAGCCTTGGTCGGTCGGCCTTGTTATTTCCTGATTCATCGTAACCACGACGTTTGGCGACTTGGCCGACCAATTGGAGTTGCCCTGGGGTTGGTTAGGTCCACCAGACGAGAATCTAGATCGTTCAGCAAAATGGAAACCTTCGCTAGTAATTCCTCACATGGTCAGGAGACTGATGGATTCAAAATCTTGCTTGTTGGCCATGGTCCATCTATCCCCTGTGCATTTTAAGGTGGTTGGCTGTTTAGCCAACGTGGCTGAAGTGTACGCAGCTTTCAAAGCCAAACACGCTCAGTCGCTCTGGAAGTCAACCCACTTCCTCTGGATCTCGAAGGACCAAGCCCGCGCCAGCTACTTCTTCACTTCACACTGCAAACCCAAAAATGTTTTGGAGCAGGGCGTTCTTGGCGTAGCGTAAGATCGTCAGTCGGATCTTCGAAGGGATGTACGCTTATCTATGTGACACTGACATATTTTTGGAACCCTTTCTTCCGGCACCTGCCTCGCCCTTGCTGCGTATTTTTTGTTTTCTAGATGTGAGGGGGGGGGGTCGGACGCGATCGACCTGTTGGCCGCTCTTCACTTCTCGGACTTTACGTGGCCATGACGATCCTGGTACCGAATACCTCTGCAGGTCGGACGCGATCGATCTGTTGGCCGCTCTTCACTTCTCGGACTTTACGTGGCCATGACGATCCTGGTCCCGACTTACCTCTGAGCCCCACCCAGGAACTAAAGTTTGCCCGTCTGCAGAGCAAGTTTGTCCCTTCTTCGTAGACGTAGTCGCTTCATAAATCATGATTCCAATTTGTTTACATCCACATTGTACGCTCGTAGGGTGTTAATCACTCTGCCATATCCAATCCTTTGTCATCCAGCGTTGCACTGCCTTGGTCACCCATAAACAGATACGACCGACTCCCGATAAACCACGACATGCCTTAGGACACATTTAGTCGCTCCGATTAAGTAATAGTCGACTTTATAATTATCTTGTTTGAACTTAAAACTCTGGTCGTGCACGAAGTTCAGGGCAAATCCACAGACGACTTGATCAACCAGCAGGTGACCAGTCTCCTCCCCCGCGACTAGTCTTCGTGACTCTGCATCACCTCGAAACGCTTGTACTTTTTCACTTTGCGTTCAACTCTCGTAAAAACGTTTTGCAATTCAAATCCACTCCGTCGACTCATAAGGGTCTACGTGGCCCTATCAAAGGATTAAGAGCTCTCGCCGTTGCCGACCGAACCGCGTCTTCTAGCTAAAAAGTATTCGAGGATCTTTTCCACTTCGTATTCGCCTTCCTACAGTTCACGCGAACAGCTATTGTCGGGCAACAAGCAATCGATAAAGTCGATCCGGTCGGCCGCGTCCACTGTTTGCCGGTCACCAGGGCGACCAGGGGACTCCCTGGCTCTTTTCAGATTGGAGATGTGAGCTTTCGGTATAAATCAGTACCTTGTATCCCTCAATTCTATCCGCGCAGCATATTCTCTGACCAACCCCCGAACTCGAAACGAACCATGCTAGAGGTAAGCTAATCTCTGAGCCTTCCTTTCCTTCACACGATCTCGGTAGAGCCACACTTTGATCCTGGCCGAATCTTGTGTTGACCACTTGTTCAATATGAGTTATCACCCGGGCTCGACGGGCCGACGAAAATGCTCGTTTATGTGTCCCCTTGCACGCCGGTAGTGTCTAGAGATGTGTACCTCCACCTTCGAGCCCCCTACCCTTTACATATCTAGTTCGTCACTGGCAACGCTGCCTCCAGGATGGTTTTAGTATTCCATCCGTGAACCAAATAAAACGGTGTATCTGTTTTCACCCTATCGTGTGCAGTGATCGGTGCGAACTTCATCCGTTCAGCGTATCCGTCCTAATCTTGTTGTGCCACATCTGAAACATAAAATTTGATAGACCTTGTTAGGGTCTGGACCATTCTTTTCGCAGTTCCATTTGGTTGGGGTCGGTAAGCCATAGTTGCCCGTTGACACTGACCCACCATGGGATTGAACGCTCGGAAGGATTCCGACATGAAAACTGGTTCCCGGTCTTGGCGGATGACTTCACTGGACCCAAAACGCCGGAAACACATTCTTCAAACCCTTCGGCTACCGTCTGAGCAGTTCGCGAAGCAATGGCTTTGGCCATCATATACCCCGTGAATTAGTCGACTCAAAAGGTCAGTGTTTTTCCCAGGTGACTTGGGCAATGAGGGGATACGGTCCAATGCTATGATCTGGAAAGTGTAGTTGTCTCGACATTACCTGGGGTTGTCCCTTGAATATTTGACTCCCCCTTTTCCCTCGCAATCTTCACATAAGCTTACGTACCGCTGCACACTTCGAAACAAGCCTCTACAATGGCAATACCGGCGAATCCGAAGGTCTGTGCGATAGACCCGTTCGTGACCGCCCTCTAGGCTCGCGTGGTAGTAATGTAACAAGATATTCTGGAGAGATTCGGGGATCACCAGTCGGGCGGTCAATTCTCGGTCGCCCTCGTCGGTCTTATGAACGGAATCATACACAAGTATTTCTTTTTCGCTGACTTCATAATATTTAGCCATTTTGTTGCATGACTGTGCCTATCCTGCCGATAGGGCGTCTAGATCCCCATTCAAATACACCTTCAGATTCATTATTCAGTCCCCCTCCTCTTGAGCCTTCCGGATACGTTCCACTTGCAGCTGTTTTATCATACCTCCTTGCACCGTTTCTCCGGATATTTTAATGGGTGGCCTTGATCGGGTAACCGCGAACGTTCTAGACGTCAGATTTTGATTTTTGAGAACTAGCAGCTCTGGCAGTCGGCTAATCACTTTCAACCCTGGCCACTATTCCCTCGGTACCGACTCCACCCCTCCTTGTCTGTGTAATACTTCACTAGCCAGCTGTCAGCACGCTAGTTCCAATTGCGCTTAACGTGAAGTATCTCGTCGGAAACCCACGACTGAAGTTTGTTTCGAGCTTTTGCTCGATGCGGAGATAAACCTGAAGCCTTGCGCTCGAATTCTCCACCTTTTTTAGACAAACAGATTGCAGTGTCCACAGATAATTAGCCGCCTTCGATACAAAAGTATTAGCAAATTGAGCTCAGCAACATGCCTTTTCGACTTCATTCACTGTGGACGACTTGGGATATTTTAACTGGCGCTTTCTGCCCACCAGTTGGGCAGGCTCCATTCGACAGGGCAACAGACTGGTGCAGTTGCGCAGTAAGCTAACCTTTAAGTCACTGATTGCAGGTTCGAATTCCCCCCTCCGGTTCAAAATGTGTCGGACTTGATGGGAGGTACCGGTAATCGGTGGCGAGTGAACGGCTGAATAGCCATGCCTTCTACCAACAAAACCATCTGGGAGATGCCGTAAAAAGTATTATGTGACGAATTCAACCAGACAGGGCAACAGACTTCAATTCTTTTTTACACAAGCCAACTCATCAAAGCTCAATACATATAGCTCTTTGTGTGTTTCCACGTTAGACGTAGGTCGGTCAACCTTCTGTTTTTCATGTTTCTCGGTTGAGATGGCTGATAGAATAGAGTCTACACTCCTGCGGAGATTAATACTGGCCGCTAACGCCCCCAGCACCTGGTCCTCGCCTTTCTTGCACGTCACAATCTTTCATGTCCAATGGGACAAGAGAGCGGCCCCAATTTATAAAATCCTCTGTAATACAGAGGATCTGACCAACCAGGTTAACATCGAGTGCATCGTTAATATTCTGAGAGGTCGGGCGGCCAACATCATAAAACAAGCTTTTAACATATGTAACGAATCCAACACATCTTTCTCCACGGTAGTGTAGTTTAACTAGTTGGCTTTAAGTTTCAGAACCGTGAAGGTCGCTGAAAATTATAGGCCTTCATAATCCTGCATTGACGACTATGAGATGACCCATTCGCTCGCGTGGACAATAATTACCGCTTCTTCCGATGGGTCGAAACACCGCAAAATAGGTGCTGTAGCAATCTTGAGTTGAGCATAGCAATATTCACTTAAACTCGAGACCATTTCTCTTCTTCTTCACCCGTGGTCATTGAGTGATCACCATCCTTTAAGTTGCATCTCCACGCGTGGAAGTTATACTCTCTCAGCTCATATAGGATCGACGCATATATCTTATAATCCTCGATAAACCTGCTGTAGGAATTCAGTCTTCCGAGAAAGAAAGACTGCTTGGACTTGAGAGTTGTGGAAGAGGGAGGTCAGCTAGTGCTTGGGGGTCCTTTGAGTGGGCTTCTAATTCTTCTCTGGATACCCGGTGGTCGGAGTAGTCGGCCATTATACATCCTTACGATTTTTTGACTGCACTAATCGACAAAATTCAGTAGTCGCATACGTACAATAACCGTTCCACCTTTTTGCATAACGCGTACCAAGATTCGGCGGGTATAAGTATGTCGTCTATGTACGACCGACGACCCATTATCGAGGGGTCTGACTCAGTGACTGGTTCCCCCGACGCAAACATTTCTTCTGCATTTTACAAACTGTTTCTTGGGGGTACGCGTAAGGACCCGTATAACGCGTTGCATAAAAGTCTCCGTAGATCTGTGGTGCATTCTTGAGTCCGAATGGCATCCGAAGCCATTCGAACAATCCTTACGGGGCGACAAAGGCTGAAATCAACATTGCTCTCTCAGTCATACTGACCACCCAAAAATCACTTGCCATATCGAGAGAGAAGTACCACAACGCGCTATCCAAGTCTTCCAGGAGCTCTCTAATCAGTGGCATGGGGTAAACCATGAGTTGAGTCAAGTCGTTTACCAACCGGTAGTCAATGCTCAACCTGACGTCTATCCCATTCTCCTTCACGATAATTACTATTGG